GTAGTGTGATTCTGTGTAGTTTATTTATGGCATCCCGTTGGATTTGACGTCATCTGAACAGGACATCGCACGCTCACTGCTTGATAGCGCGCGAAGGTCCGTTTACGCCGGTTGTTAAACAACATCGTTATGGGGAAATGCAAGTCTGCGTCCAAATGGTTGGAAGATAAGGAGGAAGGACGATCAATACTGTATATAGTCAATGTGAGGTAAAGTGTGTCGCCAAGGTAACCGGCGATGAGGTCTTAAAATGTATGGAAAGGGTCTTAAAAGGTCTTAAAAGGCATTACATTTGACTTCAGGATTCCTGCATATACCCTGATTTAGCAGGAGAAACCCCACAAGTGTCAAACGTCAAAGGATAGTTTGTGATTGATATACGAAGTCCATATATGCCAAAAAAATACTTTTCTCCACAACTTTGAAAGACTGAAACATGTGATGCAATCGTTGCTTATTCCTGCAACATGCTAATGATCAAATTCATCTTCGCTGCTACAATGTAGAAGTATAGGCCTAATGAAACCCGCTTTAGTGCAAGTCATATATTCATGTCATGTAATCAGAAAGCGTAAAAACAAGCCAAATATCAAATAAAATCAGCGTTCAGTAACTGGAGGTCTTGCAGCGAGTAGAGGGGAACTTTCCTCTTCCCAGTGGCTCAGTTTGTGTTGGGCTAAATGTTGTTTTTATAGTGTTTAGTATTCATCTCTACCAGAGCTGTCCTGCTTTATGGAGCAGAGAACACACACACTGTTTCATTAGAAGCACTGCTGGTAATTGTCAGTCTTTTGTGTGTGTGTGTATGTGTGTGTGTATGTGTGTGTGTGTATGTGTGTGTGTCTAAGGCAGTTTTGGACCCCTCTCGAGGGATTAATCCAGAGAAATCCAATCAGACCGTCTTCATTTCCACAGACAGCCATTTTAGTTTTATTATCCCAGACAGGAGCCAGATATTCTATTACAGATGCTCTGAAGTTCCTCCTCCAACCTCCACATCTCCTTCCTCCTGCTCACTGAACACTCTCTGAAACAGATGCTTTGTTGGATCCAATGTTGGTCACTTAAAAACTAAACTACCGGAGTTGTATAAGTGAAAAAACGTCTAACATTCAATCAGTTTTAGTCTCTTAAGTGAGATTGTTGGTTGGTTTGTTGGTGGTTTGATAGCATTAACACAAGAACGACTTGTGGACGGTAGTTTTAAATAGACATTGTGAAAACAGTTTGTGCTGCAGGAGGAGCAGAAGTATTAAAACAATGGTCTCTGGTAGATAGAAAGGGTTTGAGCCTTCAGGGTTGGAGCAGAACACAACGTTTATTCCAGATATGAGGAACTCAAATCTGCTTCTGCATGTTTTATTCTGACCCTGGAAACAACCTGGGATGTGAAGTATGCACATAAATGCTTGCAATACTTGTAACAGAGTATTCCTACACTATGGTACTTTTACTCAAGTACAAGATCTGAGTACTTCTACTTTTACTCAAGTACAAGATCTGAGTACTTCTACTTTTACTCAAGTACAAGATCTGAGTACTTCTACTTTTACTCAAGTACAAGATCTGGGTACTTCTACTTTTACTCAAGTACAAGATCTGGGTACTTCTACTTTTACTCAAGTACAAGATCTGGGTACTTCTACGTTTACTCAAACTACTGTACTCAAGTACAAAGACTCTGTACTTACTTTTACTCAAGTACAAGATCATGAGTACTTCTACTTTTACTCAAGTACAAATCTAAGTACTTCTCCACCTCTGCTGTTCTCTCTGTAGCTGTGCAGTAAGGCCGTTCACACTGTGGCTGTATCAAGTGTGTTGAGAGGTCAGGAGTTCATGCTAGGGAGGTGTTGTGTGTCTGTGGGGGGGGGGGGACAAGCCTGTACTGGTGGGATCAGATACCCGGGGGGGGGGGTCTCTCTGCTGATACTACATGCTCCCCAAAGACGCAGCTCCATCACATCGCTGAGGGCCTCCTGCTGATGTTTGGCTACGAGATAAACACAATAATCTCCTCGTCCACTTAGTATTCTCAAATCCTCGTCCCTCTGCGCGCGGAGAACAAAGAAAGTAGAGGACGAAGGCTAACTGAGGAAGAGGAGGCTTTTCTAATTATAGCTCCCGTTCCTGGAGTTAGGGTGTCGTCTCTGAAACAAGCCGAGTTGGTGCATCAGTCCTGCAGAATTATGCAAAATGCGCCTTTGATCATTAGCCGCGATGTCAGCCGCTAACCCGGAGTTATCGGAGAAACACACAGGCAGTGTTTAAATGACGTGATTATATAAGAATATAGTCAGGAGATTATATAAGGGATTAAAATAGTTTGCATAGACGTCCTGTCATCAGTAAATGTATTTAAATGCGCTGCTTGTTATTTCTGCCTACTAGTAAATGCATATTTTAATGACATTACATCTTAGTTTTTGAAGGGAAATGTTGCAGAGAAACTCGCACAAAAACACGTTAGAAATGATTGCTGAAACTGCTCACATGTTAGGATTGAGTGATTTTTAGGGGGGCTCCCTTTCCTATAGTGTGTTATATAGGTTTGTTGTGCATTAAAGCATGGAAACATGTCACATTAAAGGCACAACATACAGATATAAACCTGAAAATGAGCATAATATGTCCTCTTTTAAAGGTGGGGTAGGTAAGTTTGAGAAACCGGCTCGAGATACACTTTTTGTTATATTCCATGGAATGCTCTTAACATCCCGATAGCAATGAATATCTGAAGTGCTTTGACAAAAAATCCATAAAAAAATGTCATCTGTGGAAGCCGTAATACTGTAAAAAGCACGACCAATCATCTGAGCCGGCCCGGCTAAAGTAACTGGATGGCCTACCTGCCTGTCAGCCTTCCATCGGGGCACACACTTATCTCGTGCCCTCATTGGTCATGTGCGCGTTCGTGTGTGTTGGAGGAGGGGCTCTGTAAGGAAGTGGCAGATTTGTTCCAGGCTTGTGTATTTTCAAATTCTAGCACACTCGAGCCGGTTTCTCCAAAATTACCTACCCCACCTTTTAAGGTAAAACAACCAAAATATAGAGGATATAATAACAAATCAACTATTAAATCGTATTGATTTGCCTTTTTAAAATGACATTTTCTTAGTTACAGTTTGAACTGCTGCCAAATAAGGCGTGAGTATATCATAATATATCAATATTCAACAATATTACCTCAATGCCACAGTTCAGCAGTTAATAATATGAAAAACATATTTAAAAAGGTCATTCGTGATTGGATTCCTTCAGCAGCAATGAGTAGTAGTGATATGTATTGATCAAATTAGATTTCGTCCTCTTGTGGCCATAAAGCGTCACATGCACTTGACACAGTTTCCAGTTCTGATCCATATAGAGAATCTGAACCAGAGCCAGGTTATTACTGCTGCTCGTACTACAGAGTTTTAATGATGTAGCACTTCAATATTAAAGCCATTAAGGAGAGGGAAAGAGAAATTGAGATGTGATTCATTACTCTGCAGAGGGGGAGTCTTTCTCTTCATTATTTTCTCCTCTTTCTTCTCCGTCTCCCTCTTTTTCTGTCGTAATTGTGTTTTTTTTAATCATCATTTGTCTTTTTCTACATGTTTTTGTTCTTTGATTTTTTCCTCTGTGTTTTCTGTTTGTCTCCTAAACAACGGAGGGTGACTCAGGCTGCATGGGGCTGTGTGAGAGTGTGTGAGTGTGTGTGTAGGTGTAGTGATAATGGTCCCTCTCTCGCTGACACACTAATGACTAGTTTGTGCTTCTCTCCGCTGCCTGTCTCCCTCTCTCTCTACGTCTTGCTCTTGGAAATAATTAGCTCGCTCGCCCCCTCTCCAAAGATTACATCTATTATCACAAATTCTCTCTTGTCCCTGTTTTCTTTCTTTTGTCATCACTATCCTCATTTCTCTCTCTCTCGCATGTCCGTCTTTTCTTCTATCTTCTCGGTGGGAGAGGCAGCGGCAGCGTGTTACAGATGTGGTGATAATGGAGTTATTGTGTCGTCATTAGAGGAACATTTGCACAGCTTTGAACCGCCTAAACATCACGCTCTGTCTCACTCGATCTTCTTATTGTAATATGTAGAGTAACACTGTTAATACGTGAGGTAACACAATGTGCTTCTGACCAAAAAGGACTGTACGAAACACTAATTAGATTACAATTCAATTGAAAAGTGGGTCTTAGGTCGCATTCACACCAGCCTTGTATAGTCCGGTTGAATCGAACCCTGGTGCGTTTAGCCGCTTGGTGTGGTTCGTTTGGGTTGGTGTGAACGCAGTCTGAGACCTCTGAAGTGAACTAAACAACCGGACTCTGGTCCGCCTAAAAGAGGTGGTCTCGGACCGCTTGCTAGTGAACTCTGGAGCGGTTCATCGCTGGTGTGAACGCAGTCCGCACCAAAACATAGGAAGCGTAGTATTTACGTGTCACAAGAACGCGGGTGTCTTCAAAATCGTTAGCGAAAGGGAAAAGCAGAATGAAGTGTTGAACAGTGTCGTGTAAAGTAAAAACAACTATCAAACTAAAAACTATACATAAAAGTCATAAAAGGTATTTATCGCACGTTGTCTGATTATATAATCATATGCGCCGTTGCTAGAATCTGTTGATATGCTCTCCAGATTAACAACAGCATGAAAATAACCTGCCGATGCCCCATTGCGTTTTTACCCCCTTAATGTCTGACCAATTGTTGAACAGCATTTCCGAGCACATGACTTGTGTTTAAAGTTTATAGTCCGTTTGAATTTTGCCCGTGTGAACGCAAACCGAACCTTCTGAAAAATGAATCCATGTAACAAACTGTGGTCTGGTGCGCACCTGAGAAGCGGACTAAGTTGCCCCTTTAACACTATGTAGTAGTTTGTAGCAACACGGCTGCAGTTCATTACGCTCATTAACCCGATGAAGGTATTTAATTACACCAAGTAGATCTGCCTTGCCTTGATCCCAGCTGTTCCTTTAACATGTTCTTATGTTTATCTTATTTATTCTTTTAGATGACCTGGCGTACGAGGTGCGTTGGTTTTTCACGCGGCTGCGCGGCGGCCAGACGACCAATCAGATTGCCAGCGTGGACCGCTTCGGCGTGGTGACGAAAGACGACCGAAACTCCTCCAGCGACATCTCCATCGAGCGCACAGACACACACACCTACCTGCTGAACATCCACGGCACTCAGGACAGGTGAGGAGGTGCATTATGGGTAACAGAGTTCATTGTTCGTTGACTTGTAGTGAAGTAAATAGACAATAAAGTATTGTTAATTGAATACTAACTGTGTGTGTGTGTGTGTGTGTGTGTTTTCAGTGACAGTGGGGAGTATCACTGCGTGGCCACTCCCTGGTACCTCTCCGCCTCCACTGGGTCCTGGACTCAAGCCGCAGAGCTGACCTCGTCCCGAATCTTCCTCACAGTCAAATTCGCTGGTGAGATAACGGATTCATTTACACAAGTTTAATCCACAAGTGATCAGATTTGACATTATTTGCTCGTATTGAACACGTGTCTCTCTCCTTCTGCAGTGTGGGAATCCCTACAGTTACCTCTCTTATATGGAGTATCAGCCTCAATAGGTAAAGTATACTTTCATGTGTCTGGTGTCAGCTTAAGACTTTTGTTAATTAAGATATTGCTTTATATGATTTAAAGTGGACCTATCATGCTATATTTGAATAATATAGTGTAGGACCATACCTATATAAGGCATATTTATACTTTTTTTTTTTCAAAATACCAAACAGATCATGCATTTTAGCCATGCTTCATTTTGCTCAATTTGACAATTTATAGCTCTGTTTTTGCAAGGGCTGATTCAGTGAGAACAGCACCATCTACAGGCCTGGCATATGTACTACAGCGTCTCCAGCGCTTGCGAACGGCAATGGCCGTGGCTGTCTCCTCCTGATTGGTGGAGTTGGCCCAATAGCCGTAGCGCTACCGTCCTGACGTCAGGACAGTGTTCAAATCTGGATCAGTTTTTATCAGATCCGTTGCAGCCCCTTTTTTAGAGATTTTGGGTATGGAGGAAAATAGAGAGGGTTGTGTTTTCTGACACTTGGTGAGTTCCCTGGAACACCGGGGACACATATTCATGTCTAAAAGACTTAACTTAAATCAGGGGGTAAAAAATCAAGGTTTATGTGCCGTTTTTATCCAAAGTAAAGCTGCAAAATGTCAATGAAAATGTATTTTTTTGGTCCCCCTGACTTGTGGCTGATTGACGTCTAGCTGACGGTGCAGGGCTCATGTTATTTAGGACACTGACAGCTGCCAATGCCAATGCACAGTGGATTTAAATAAGACAAGAATCTGAGTGTGTTTAATCTTAATCATAGCCAAAAACAATCTATAAAAGATGCTTTAATTAGCACTGGGTTTGTAAAAGGGCTGGGGACATCCTTAGTTGCTGTTCAGTCTTAGTTTAGAGGCATCCGTTGTGTCAGGAGTTGATTTATTCATAGTACTGCGAGCTGGAATATTGATTCTAGTCACACTCTTACTGTGTCCAAGTCCTGCAAACATCAATAATTAGTGAGACATCAGAAAATCATGTGGTGGTACTTTATGGGGCCATAAATGTTACATTAGGACCGATACATTCAAACTGCGGGAGAATACAACCAGAGAAGGAAGTTTATATACTTAAATGAGACTTAATGATACATTTACTACAACAGTAAAGACATTATAATTATGATGATGCCACAGACTGGCCCCATGTTCGGTGTGTGTTTGAGTTGTATGAATAGCAGTATAGTTGCTAACACCCCCCCATGTGTAACCGTGTGCTGTGTCTCCAGGTGTGGGCCTCTTCTCTCTGGTCTTCGGACTGGTTTGCGCCCACTGCTGCTGCCGTAACACCATGCACACTCCTCGCTCACGCAACAAGCTGATGGACCTGGAGATGGACTGACACACAGTTTCCCCCGCACCCACACACTGCAGCGCTCACAGGAAAACACCCCTCACACACACCAGACACACGCCCAAAGACGATTTCTGGGACACCAAGTTGTTTCCAAGCGACGGACGTTGGGAGTAAAACAAAAAAACCTGACTTTAGGAGGTGTTTCTTCAGCTCTGCAGTGGAGGAGCAGGGGGATTTTTTTTACAAGCAGCAATGGGACTTCGATTTCTGTGAAGATCCGTTGGAATCTGTGGCGCTTCCAGTGATTTTTTTCACCGAGATATTTGCTCCCTGTTAAGACCATAGCACTCCAAGAAACTTTTTTTGAGGTAACACTGCCACTTGGGAATAAAGGACCACTAAACCTGCCTCTAGAGATAACAAATGAAGCGCACATGCTGGACTATTTCTTCTTCTTCCAATGCCAAGAGCACCCTGTCTTTGTTCCCTGTTGAAGTTTCTGTTTTGGAGGAAGCACAGACATTTTCTCTTTGGGCTCATGGAAGTTGTTATGCATCAGCGCCTCAGCATTTCCTTGTTTAGTCACAAAGTTATTTTGTATTTGCAGAGACTGGTGGTTTATGCAGCCTGAGCCTTATTGCTGTCACGGAGTAAACGCCAACGTGTCTCCCACATGAGAGGTATTGCACTACAGCCACCACCCCAGAGTATTCCTACCTTAACAGAAAAGGACGAGATGTACTTTTATTCTCTACTCTAGTTTTTTGAAAATTAAGAGATTTTAAAAAGACATTTTTAAGCTTTACGAGGAGATATGCAGTTAGTGTGTTTGTGTGTGAGATATACTGTACGTGGTGCCAATATTTGAAATTATCGGAGGTGCGCTCGCTTCATATCGCCGGGTCAACACTTGAACTGCCGCTAACAGTGGCGACAGCAAGCACTCTTCTTTTATAGATATTCAGAAATGTATCCTGCTGTTTTTATCAGAGTCTCGTGTGTGTTTGTGCGAGTGCCGTGAGACAAAGAGTCGCATGTACTGTTTTATAACGACAGAGTGGTGTCAACACAAGCCTTTTCCTGGGTTACATGTTAGTGACATGAAAGTCTGCAGATCTCTCAACCTAGCCGTCACTTATCTGGACTCTCATGTCTTCCAGCTGTGAGCAACATGAGTATATTACACAGGAAAACCATGCATGTTCCCAAGTGTCACTTCTGCTCTTTAAAGGAATAGTTAAACATTTTGGAGAAGCTGTTTATTTGCTTCAATAAGAAGATCAATGTCATGCCTGTGCATTGAGTACAGAGTGAGACTCCAGGTGTGGTTAGCATGAAGACAGAAAGCGGGTGGAAACAGCTAGCCTAGCTATGTCAAAAGCTTAGAAAAATGCAGCTATAAATATGTCTTGGCCTGGATAATGGTTAAACTGTCCATCAAGGAAAAATGTTTTAGCATGTTAGCAAGATAACATGTGTTAACTAGGTTGGTATTGAAATACTGCTTCCAGTCTTTATGCTAACTAGACTAGCAATAAGAGCAGATAAGCTCATTTCCCAAAATGTTCCACTATTTTATAAACATCACATGACTTGAATGAGTTCAAAGGGCAGTTAACATTTTAATATATCCTCCCGTTTTCATTTGAGTTAAGCTAGGCTACCAGTCCCCAACTATTTCAAGCCTTAGAGCTCAACAAATTGCTAACTATCTCGAAACATAACTAGAAAATGATCTGAGATGTTTCGTCTCTTTGATTGAAAAGTGTTCCTTTGCACTTAGCAGCCAAAACAAAAGCATCTGATCAGCTGTTCCCAACATCAATGAGCATCTGTTGAGTCTCTGAGGTGTTTTTACAGCAAACGGATGAATTGTTGTATCATGTTGACTGCTGTGTGAACACACACTCACAGATCCAGCGACAACACACACACACACACAAAGTGTCCAACACCCAGCGGGGTCCAAACGGCCTGTTAGTAACAAGATGAGCCAGGCTGTCCCTCATCACTGAGCCCCGTTTGGTGTTTTTAAATAGTTCTAAAAGGTATTTTAAGCAACTGTATGAGCAATATCAGGCTGTAGTCAGGTCACAGCTCGTATTAAGATGTACTGTTCATAACATATTCTACCCTAAGTCAAAGTTTATTACGAGGGTGTTTTCTGATTGGACGTTACATATTCAAACCATCGCTCTGAAATTGGCCAATGCAGAATTTTATCCAATCAGGACAAGATGCCCAAATCCATAAATATCTCCCCTTATGATACTCAAAGTGTTATTCATAGCATAGCATCCTACAATTAAAGCGATAGCAATATGTTCTTCAGTTAGGGACAACAAGGGGTCAAGCTGAGACCCTTTTGAGAGGTCTTGATTGACAGTTACTTCAGAAACTTCCAATAACATAAACAGATCTATGTGTGTGTGTGCCTCTCTGTTGCAGTGTTCAAATTGGTTTTAACATTATAATTAACACACACACATTTACATTTACACAGGTGAATAACACACACACACACACACACACACACACACACACACACACAGGTAGCATCGATACACACCACTGAACATGCCACTGCAAGGTTTCCCCAGTGTCCTTTCATTTTCTCATTTGACTGCAATGAGTATGATGAATCATGTTTTTTATTTTAAATAAATAGATTTGTAAGATGTATTCATTTTGTATATTGTTTTATATGTTCTGATGTTCATGGTGTTTTTCTTATTATAACAAGAAGCAAATGAAATGATGCAGCGCAAAATTTAGGAATAACGCTAAAAATGTTCATTCATATATTACTTTTCTAAACCCTTGTCCGATCATGAAGACTTTCACTGAGGAAACTAATTTTTCGCGGCAAAAAGCATTGAATTTCTTTCCAAAACAAGGCTTTTTTTTAACGAACGCACTGCAAGCAAAGGCATCAAACGGTCACATTGTGCAAATATGTATGTATAAGGCTCATAAAACAACAAATATAAACCGTTTACTTATAATGTAATCATATCTCTGAGCTAGCTTGCTAACGTTAGCATAGATTCCCTCAACACTTATTTTATTCGTGTTATTTCAGATTCTGTTTACACGTGTCTGTGCTCATATAATTCATAAAAGAGGTACAATTCAGTACTTCTATTCCTTCATGGTTTAGCTGATATTATTTTAGCTGAGTTAGTCATCAAAAAGTTAGAAATCCACCCCCGTAGTTCCTCATTAATCTATCAATACAGACTGAACCATTAGCCTATAGGGGGGTTCACACTGGGTTCCCTTCTACCCCCGGAGCTACGTTTCTGCATTTTGTCTAACTTGTTCCTGCTGGTATCACACAAATAGTTTTAATTGTGGGGGTATAGCGTCGACTTGTTGTTGATTTATTTCCTCAGGATCTGTGATGGTTGTGATCAGAGATCCTCGTGACAAATGTGGGCCAATTTGTTTTTTTCTTCTCCGTCTCTGGGCAAGCCATCAATCAGCTTTTTCGACGCTCGCAAACATCAGAAAAAAAAACTTCTAGCAGAATAAATGTTTTATAATTCAACATTGGGCCGCGGCCATATCTCCATCTCCTCCTTCTCCTGTCTTTAATACTGTGTCACCCGTTCCCTTGTTAGTCTAATGGGATTTAGTCTCTGTTTGTTATATTTCCCTCTCTTTGTCACCGTCGCAGATGAGCTGAAACCTCAGTCGCTCTCCTGGCTTATTAGTTTCACCTCTTTATCAACCAATTCTCCATCCATCTCCATCTCTCTTCCTCCATCTCTCTTCCTCTCATGTGCAGATGAGAGAAATAGAGATCTAGTGTCGATTGGTTCGCTCTGTGGTTTTTTCTAACTTGCACTCGTTCTCTCTCAGGGTCCATTTGACCCAGTTTTCTTTCCTCTGCCTGTTATGGATCAGTTGCTAATGTGGGAACCAATTGTCTCCTTAATTGACTCACTGCTGTACGTAAAGGTTCCTTTTTGTTTGCCATCACTATATACTGCTGCTGTTTTCGGAGATTGCACATTTCGTGGCGTTACCCTCCTACGGCTCGAGGGTTGCTCCACATAAAAAAAGTTCAGACAGAAAAATGTAGCAGCGCGCCGAGAGAAGTAAGCAGCGTGTTCTCCCCAGAGTCTACCAGAGGCGACACGTTTTCCCGTCTTCATTGTAATCAACGCTGATGTTTACAGCCTCCATCGCTGCTGTCTGTCTCTCGCTGGGTAAATGCAGCACTTTGCTGAATGTTCCCCTCTTCACTGTTTTCCTCCTCAAGAAATACTCGAAATGGATGAGTTTATTAAACAGATTATCATTTGGGTTTTACACCCAACAATTGCTGCCTGACGTAGAGACTCAAGAAATGTTTCTGATAATACAAAGTGAAGTAGCTAGGGAGGCGTGTGGCACAATGGATTAGTGCGTTGGTGTTCAAACCCCACTGCAGTCAGCATGTCGTTGTGTCCCTGAGACACTTCACCCCAAATTGCTCCTGTGGGGATTGTCCACAGTATTGAGTATGTAATTCGCTTTGGATAAAAGCGTCTAACATGTAACATGTAATGTAGCTCTGTCTGGAGGCAACACAGGGATTTGAACCTTTGCAGACCGTTGACATGCACAGAAACCTATTGAACACACCATAGGAAAGGGAAATCCCAAACAGTGTAATAGGGCCACTTTAATTGTAACATTTTCGTGTTGGTGTTAAAACTGGTTCTCAAAAAACAAGATGCAGTCTTGTCGAGGCTTCAATCCTTTGGTCCACAAACCAATGGATGACGTCCTGGTAAGTACATCCACTCCTTATAGTACATCCAAGGAATGTAATGTACACCAAAATGTGCTCCTGTCTCCCAGGAAAACTCTTAAAACTGTCGATGTGAAGGATCTATGCTAGAAATTGTTAACTTTTAATAGCAAAATAATAGTTATTGTACTTGTTTCACCTCCACTACCACAGGTTGGTTCAACAACCATGATCTTTCCGTTGTAAATTCACAGCATGACCCTTTTTCCCCATGCTCGCAAGTCAGCTCTGACAGGAAGCTAGCAGCTGTTTCGCTACCGCAGCCTTCCTTACAGTGGCGTGTCATGATGGACGTCTTCAAACACTGACCCCGAATCACCCGAAGAGTGTGATTTCAACACCCTGTGATGGACGCTGTGATGGAGGCTGTGATGGAGGCTGACGGTGTCCATGTGTCACTCATCGCCAGCAGGCGCACTTCATTAACTCCTGTGACACGGCGCTGTGCTTTCTAACACCTCACACTCAATTTCTTCTCCCTCCACAGGTGCTCCTGCAGGTGCTAGCTACCTCAACACTTTACCCACAATGCTCCACGGGTGGCTGCAAGGTATGTGCAGCTACTGTGAAGTGTAAGGGATATATACACTAAAGTATTTACACGAGTTAACTCCTCCTCCGCCCTTCAGCTTTGCGTTGGATTATTCAGGAATTTAAACGGTGTGTGTGTGTGTGTGTGTGTGTGTGTGTGTGTAAAGCTTTCATGAGGTGTGTCTTCTAGTCTGGCTTTATCAAGCAATTTCCAGAGTAACTAAACAGAAAAACAATGAAAGTGCAGACAGGATCATGTTTCTGGTGTTCACCTCATCAGTTATTGCTTTACACACACACACACACACACACACACACACACACACACACAGAGAAACCCTACACGGAGCCATAAATCTTAAGGGTCGGGGGAAAGTCACTTCACTTGACACTCAAATACTGTATTTAAAAACAATTTGAGGGAATCTTTACTCAAATATTGAACCCTTTCCCCCACTTCTTTTCTTTCATTCACTTTGGATGTTCAGATTACAGAAACAACGTAATGTAGGATTCAATATTCTACCCCTACAGTCTCTGAGTCATAAATATGAACAGCTTAAATAAATCTTTCATATGTTTACCTAATTATGCAGTACTTTTACTTGTAATAGTATTTTTACACTAGTATTGCCCAGAGCACATTTTACCCCCCAGACACTGCACATCTCAGAGATGTGTTTGCAGCTGCAATCAAATATTGAACTGGGAGAGAGTGTAACTGACCCCCCCTTAGAGTGAATGTTAATGTGTGTGTGCGCGTGAGTGTGTGAGCGCGCTCGGAGGAATGCAGTGATGACTCTTCAACACTTTCCCCTCACCATGGAAACTATGTCAACACATGGGTGGGGGAGGTGGAGAGAGAAGGAGTGTGTATGAGATGGGGGGGTTCGTGTGTGTGATTTATTATTAGGTATAGAAGATATTTGACCTCACTTCTACATAAATCTCTCTCTCCCTCTCTCTCTCTCTCTCTCTCTCTCTCTCTCTCTCTCTCTCTCACACACACACAGATAAACTTCAGAGCAGTTAGATCATTTTCAGAATCTCTTTCATCTTGTGTAGACTTTCTCTCGGTTGATTTATAAAACATTCACACACGGACGCATTAGGAGAGTAACACACACTCTGCAGAGAGCAGGGAATGAACACCAGCATGCTGTTCAGCCCAGGACTGTACTTTTATTACAAATGAAATGAAAGGATTGATTATTTCCTGTAGAATCGATCACTAGCACTCTGACTTATACACAAGCCTTATTTTGCTTCACTTATTACTGCGCATATCGTTCGTAAATGAATCTTACTGAGCCTGTATTTATCACAGTCACATGCATGCATTAATACCTCTACCAATACCACCAAGCGAAACAATACTAAGGTTAATGTTAGCTAGCTAGCATTATACATATACCTATATCTTATTCAAGTTATAGTGAAACAAAAGTCTCATTTATTTTCCGTCATTGACAACAAATATTTAAAAGACGGATCTAATGTCGATTGTGTGGCAAATTGTAAACTGAAGGTCATTTCTAGTGCGCACAATTTCTGACATCACTTCCTTTTCACCCAGGGCCTGACGGAGAAGGTGGGCCTGAGCATGCAGCTCCACAGCGGGACCCTCCTCCCCAACAGAAGACCTCAGTCCTTCTTTAATCTGATCTGCAGCACTGCCATCCTGCAGCCTGACCTCTCCTTGTATGGCTCTCTGTCTCCAGCATGGCAGCGCTCCAGCTCTTCTGCAGGCACACGTCCACACAACACATCCAAGGATACACAAATAACCGTACAGTAGGTATCACATTGTCTTTCTGCCTCGCTCTGTGGCGCGCTGCCAGATCATATCTGAGAGACCAGGCAGTGCCGAGGCTGCCAACGGTTTACCTCCAGATGGGATGGAAAGCTGAAGAGGGAAAGGTAGAAAACACCCGTTGGCCTCGAGGGGCCACTAACGGGGTCTTGTAACAAATATCAGTTAGATGTACTGCATACATTTGCCCTCAAATTGTATAGGGGCCTTTCGGAGCTGTGTATAAAACCACGAAAAGACAACAAATACGATCCAAAATCTAAGACCACATCTCATAATGTCCATCAAATATCCCTGTATTGCATGTTATCATTGATGTGAGGAAATGTAATCATTTATCCCTGATGGTCTCATTGGTAAATACTTTGATACTACAGGCCCCTAATGGACTCAAAGGAGGCCCCCATGTTTGCTTTAGACCCCTCAAACACTAAGTCACCCGCTGTGGACTCAAGTGTCGAACATTGTCTTATCAAAGCCCATCAAATATGCATAAAGTGATGATGAGCACTTCAGACACGCACACTAATCACCAGC